AATCTTATTTGCTTTAAATTTACAAATGGTGGTGATTACATTTAGACCAACTCAACTTCAAATTTGAGCTGGATTTCAGCTAACAGCTTCTATGTTTATACTGTGCTTTGCAGAAGTATTATGACAATTACTCTGTAATAAATAATATTAACCTATTCGTTTCATAATACCAAGGATTATGAAAAGCACAAATGTCTGTTACAGTGGGCTCCACATTAGATTTATTTCTTGGATATGTCACAGTGCAGTAGATCAATAACAAATTATTTATTATCTATCTAATATTTACTTCTATATTAATTAGAGTATTGTAATAAGTTGTTTTTATAATATATATATTTATTTGAAGTGTTTTGTATTTGGAAATTTGCTGGATTTTTTTTTTTTTGTTTCAGCGGGTCAGATATATCAGTTTATAGTCCAAACTTTCATATTGCATTTATCATAAAATAAAAGATAATTAAATACTTAAAATAAAATGTAAAAATATGGTGAGATATTTGTTTGCCTGACAGCAGCCAGTGCTCCATTCAAAGATCTGATCTCACCATCACCCAGTCCATTTGCAAATACATGAAGCAACTTGTTGGGATTTATTGAGCAAATAGGATAAAAAAAATAATTGCATATAAGACAATGGAAATGTGTTTTGGCATTGGATACTTTAACTTATTGTAGGGGACTTCAAAGCCAAAATTTAGACTTTTCATAATAGATAATGATAGATAATAGAGACACTTTAAAGTGAGATGCCTAAATGTGAGAATAAACCTTGGGCTGTTAAATAAATAAATGAAACCAGTTAAATTAAGCAATTAAATAAACTAAGTTAAATTAAGTTAAACTTAAATTAAGTTAAATAAACCAGTAAAATTAAGCAGTAGCACTAAAAGTGCTACTCTCTCTGTTCAGTAATAACCAAATAGAGAACTGAAGAGTAACACTTCACAGCAGTTTCAGGACAGAAATTCCAGACCAACAAAATGAAGCAGTTCTGTGCCGAATGAATATATGTGCACACACACTGTCAAACAACTCAGAATTTTTTTTTTCCTTTAAAAATCTTTTCAATTTTATTGAATAAATTCTAAGGAATCATACTGTTTTCAATAGCAATTGTACAGGTATACAGGGCCATCTTAATGGTGCAGTATATAGGATTGACACCCAGTGGTTAAGTATTGCACTCCTGGTTCAAAACACATTTTCACTTGGCCAGCGTTGTCAGATTAACAGGAGTGTGCATGATTATAGAGCCTAAAGGCTGCTTGTAGGTCTGATACATTTTAGCATAAAAACAAAATGTGCAAATGGGGTTCTGGAGACAGAACCCGTCCAACCAGTTGACCAGTTTGACGATTTGACAGGCAATAGAAACTGACAATTTGCATTACTTTTGAGACGGTCAGGGCTCAGGAAACCAAGACATTTTAAGCTCTGCCACACCCTAAAACCAAAGTATATAACTTTTCAGGTATATATAGAATATTGCTAATTTGGAACTAGATTATATGAATTTATATTCCCACACAAACCAACACATATCAGTGATTTTGCGTGTACGTTTTATAATGTTTAAGAGGTTTAATATGTATTGATTCGGTTATAAACCTTACCATTTCATTTGAGTGCAGTGAGTGCACCATTATGTGTTTCTGAATGGCTGTATAAAAATTTCTGTTGTGTTGCGTCTGATGCAAACAGCCAAATTCCTTAACACTGCAAATCTTGTCACATAACATGTTGTTAGGACACAGGGTTACAATGTAACCTGCTCACCTAATGTTCACACTTGTTAAATTTGCTAATTAATAACCACCTCATGTGAAACTCTGAATCTGCGTCTCATTTCAGAGGTTGCTACTGTCCACTCAGAGGTCGTATACTCGCAAACGCATACTTAAAGAGCCTTCATGACTAAATTCATAAAATACACAGTTTTCCACCAAGGCAACCCAGGGTGCTGAAATATAGTTTGCTAAACTGGCATTAAGCAGGTTAAAGAGACCAAAACAAAGACAGTATTCTCATATCTTCATTAAATTGGCATGAAGAAGCTCTATATGAGGCAAGATGTGGTGAAAAATTTGCAAAAAGAACTTTGAATTTTGGTCTGTATTTATTCAGGTTGTCAAAGTGCCATTTTTAATCTTAAGTGCTAAAATTGCATGAAATCTCCTACTTTTAAACTTGGCTATATGTTATTTTATGCATTTTTAAAAATTATAATCCTAGTTACTCTCTCAATTATTTAAGGCAACTCAAGAGTTATGCCCTGTATTTTAGGCTTTATTTTTAACTGATATGATCTAACCACTGACTAATACAAGCAGCAGTACTTGAGAAAATGATCATGTGTCACACAATATCTGTCATCATCTAACCACAGCCCCCACCCCCACACATATCTTAAAATCAGTGACAGTTTTTATGAAACCTGCATTTTACAAAATGTCTGCTACAAGGTATCAAACCACATTTACAATCATGATATATTCCTATATTCTCTAAATTTTTATTTTTTATAGCCAAAAAAAAGCTTCACTAGAAATCATGAGATAAATAGTTCTTATAAATAAATAAAAAATGAGAGTGAAGTTACAATAGGATTTTGTTCAAAGATCTTCTGGAAATAGGAAGAAGAAAGTCACATTTTTGTCAAAAGAGATTTATATTTGAATGTAATAGATTATTGTTAAACTGAAACACTCATTCAATGGGTAAATCATTTCACAAATGGCTAAAATAGTAAAATTGGGCTTGAAATAAAATTATATAAATTGGTCAATAAATAATTTACAGTGTTTAAAAGTTGAAATCTCTTGCAAGTCATGACCAAAGTTGACCTGACTACCCTCTGCATTCACCTGCATCTCTTTTATATTTCCATAGGGAACCACTGCAGCCCCATGCACTGCAGTTAGAGAAATTATATTACATAAATTAATAATGTTCTAAATAATTAATTCAAGTAGGTGCCTGTTAAACTGGGAGAAGAGTAAACATACACACATTGTAAATAACCAGCCTGATCTTATAAGGAAACATAAGTATTTTACGTTTTGTCAGTTTAGTGGCTAATTCGTATGAATTTGTACGAGTTGAGTCGTACAAAAATGTACGATTTTAAAAAGGAGGCATGACACACAACCCCACCCCTAAACCCAGCAGTCATTGAGTGATGGGTAAATTGTACTAAATTGTATAAATTAGATTCATACGAATTAACCACTAAATCAAAAAGTTATGAATTGCAGTGAGATTGTGTTGCAAAAACACACATTGTCAAATGTGTAAATTTTATATCATTGCTGGTGCATTTCATGTATTTTCCATTATTTTTAATTAAACTGATAAAATACAAAAAATATATATAATTTATAGTAAGCTGAATTAATCATTAATGTAAATTGACATCAATGTAATTGACAATGCAATAATTCACAAGTAATGTTGCTACCTGTCAGCTTATTCCACTAACTTGCCCTACTAACAGTCTACTATTATTCATTATTAATATCTGTAAACAGATTCTCTACACAGAGGGTATCAATATGGACCATTTTAGTCCATACTGATATCTTATAAATTTCAATACTATTTAGGTACCTTTAGATTATCAATATACCAAGGTAAAAATGTCTACCTTTTAATAGGGTACTACCCAGTGACCGCTTTGAGTGCATAAAAACAGTAATGTTTATTTTTTCACTTGAGCATAAATGTCCTCCCGTTGAACATTGAAGGATTTAGTTTTTTTGAGTAGAACATGCACTTGTGCATATACTACATCTGAAGCATTTTCATTGATGTCTTCTGCTGAATTTCCCTCTGTGTTGTGCTTATTCTTACAAAAGCTTTGAACATCAGAGATTTTGTTGTCCTGGTTAGTCATGGTGAAAACATCAGCATATGTGGAGTCAATAGTTCTATCCTGAGCCTAAAAATGTAATCAAAAATATTTGGTGTAGGGTACCAGCACTACAAACATGATCATTTCCTAGTATAGTTTTGAACATTATAGATAAGAGTAAGAGTCAAAAAGATGATCGAGAGCATAGGGCCCTGCCCTGAAATATTATTATTGTGATTTCATACGTTCATTCTGTAATTTATTGATTAAATCATTCATTTATTTAAACACAGATCACAGGGTGTGCAATAGTGGGTCCACCACAAATTTTTATTGTAGCTAATGAAACAAATAATTCAAGTTTTAAAAATCATTAAAATTGTAAGTTTTCATCTTTTAAATTAGGTGACACCTGAAGAACTCTATTTATAGTATCAATTAATGTGTGTTGAATTAACATAATTGCAAATTAAAAACACTATTTGTACTTTTAATACTGTTCATTGTTGATTCATGTTTTGGTTGGCTGATTTACATCAGTTTCTTGCCAACTACTTCTAAGTACAATTAATTAGTTATGTAATAAATAACCATCTCATGAATTATGAAACAGTATTCATGATCACATGCTCAAAAAATTACACTTGCTGTTTGTTCAAATTACTTATTTAAACTGAGCTGAAACATCACAGTTTAACAAAACAGTTTTTGGGACAACTTAATTGTTTTATGTTCAATCCATTTAAATTTGTAAAAGACTATCAAGTTAACTTATTTCCTTCTTGTGTTGTCCCAACACAAATAAATTGTGTGGAATCCAGCATTTACAGTGCTGTCTTTGCATAGAGCCTAATAATCTAGGTGCAGTATGATCAACACTCATCAACTCTCGAAACATAACAAAGCAGAGGACAGGGCACAAACCTGATTAAGATAATCTTTTTCTCCAGCATTCTCTTCACTGTTTGTCTTCTTTGTGATCCTGTGTGAGAAAATAAAGAATTCAAAACTGAAAACCTGACGTGTGCACAACCAACTAAAGAGCTGGTCTGAATAGCAACTGTCATATGTTGTAACTAGCTAAGTAACAAAAAGCACAAATCTGAATGCTTATTAAGAATGACTTTAATTGTAAATGCAACTAAACTTACTTTGTATAAAAACCAACAGCAGAGAGCATCAGCACTGCCACAGTTCCTCCAACACAAGCTGCAGTCACAGATATGGTGAGTTCATTTTGTCCTATGATATGAGAAAAGCTTTTAATTATTGAAGGTTGTAAGTGATCATCATTTCTTTAAGTCTGCATATTACCTTGATCTATGTAAACTTACCTTTTACAGTGAGTTGGATCTCTTCTGATAACTGACTGCCATGTTTATTCTGTGCTGTGCAGTAATACCGTCCAGTAATAATGGAAGTAACGATGAAAGTAATGTGTTCTCCTATAGCTACAGGTCTCTTCTCTTCATGTTTGTACCAGGTGTAATTCACATTTGATGGACTGGCTTTGCTACTGCAGGTCAAAGTCACATTGGTGCCAGCAGAGAATGAAGCAGATGGACTGATGATGATGTGAGTTTCTTTTGGAGGAACTTTGACAGAAATAGAAGCACACATTATACTTCACACTAAAGCTTAATCGTGAATAAAGAGATTTATTATTTTATATTCATATTTATTTCATGCCAGGAGTTTGAGAAAGCACTTCATATCTCTTACACTGGACTAGTAGCATCACATTGGTCATCACAGTTAAGTTTTTAGATTCATTTCTTGGATAAGTAACAATGCAGGAGATGTTCTTTCTGTGGTCGTTGTATGAAGCTTTGAAGGTCATGAGTGAAAACACTGATTGTGTTTTATCGGGGTTTTCCAGTAACTGTGTTGTGATGTTGGCAGATCTAGGAATGTAAGACCAGGATATTGTCGGAGGTTGTTTTGGGCAGGGGGCTTCAGCAGAGCAGCTCAGATTCACTGTACGTTCCTCCATCACATTGGACAGATTCTTGGGTTCAAGTTCAGGTTGTTTTGCTAAATCTACAAAATAGATGGTTGTGGTTCATTGTTAAAAAACATACAAATTTTGTTTATAATAGTTACATTTGCATTTATGTATTTATTGGGAAACTTTATATGCTGACACAATATTATGCGTCAACATTTAAATTAATTGTTTGATACAGTGGTCTGATTATATACAGTGAATAAATTGGGGCTGCATGGTGGTGCAGTGGGTGGCACGTGTGAATGAGTGTGTATGAATGTTTCCCTTTGATGGGTTGCGGCTGGAAGGGCATCTGCTGTGTAACATATGCTAGATAAGTTAGCAGTTCATTCCGCTGTGGCGACACCAGATTAATAAAGGGACTAAGCCAAAAAGAAAATGAACGAATGATTGACTGAACTGGAACTTAATTATTTATCATGCATTTTGCCCAAAGCAGCTCTCAAGTGAAGGCATTAAAGCATTTGGTGTAGACAGTGGAGATTATATTTACCTCTGACACTGATCCTCACAGGTTCATTGATAAATGTCCCTTTAAACACATCTGGCTCTGCTTCTAGTCTGAAGTAGTATTTGTCTGAGTGGTTCATCATCATGTTGTAGAAAACAGTGGTGCAGTTCCTCTTACTGAGATCCCCAGTCATCTGTATATCGCTGAATCCTCTAATGATGTTTTTACTGCTATTAAAAGCTATAAAACTGTCTGTGTTTACAAACTGTGATTTATTTTTTAGCCAGACGCCATGAAAATACTTGTCTGTTTCCTTAAGTTTGTCTTCAAAATTGGAGGTGTTGAATGTACAGGGAATCTGCACACAAGAGCCTGTCAAAGCTGTTACTGTGTGCGGCATCACAGCAGAGTACTGAACATCAGCTGAAACATAAAAACATATTGGTGGCTTAAATAAGTGGTTGTCAGGTAAAGGTTTGAAATGGACAGTTAGAATATAGTGTCCTCTTTTTTATACATCCTTAAATTCTTACAATGACTGTCTTACAATCTACTGACTATCTAAATATAAATATTTAAATGTATTTTTTCTAATGTTGCTTATCAATACAACAACACTATACAGGGACACAAGGCAGTTAAGCACATTAAAGCAACTGCAATATAATGGTATCCTTATGAGAAAGAAGTCTATTCAGGTGTGCTATTAGTATTTAAAAAAGTACACTTTTTATGCATTTCTCTAAAAAATGTAATTTAGGTATTTCCCAGAAACCTAAGTAAAATATGAAGTAAAAATATACTTTAATTATACTGACAGAAATGTATGTTTGACCTATATTTGTTTATTGACAAATTCAAAATCTCTAATTTATGTAATTTTTAAAAGGTCTAACCATGTGAAAAAATGCAAATATTCTAAGCGTTCTTGCATATCATATAGACTTTCATCAAAAGTGTCAATGATTAGTTACTTTTGCTAAGTAATATTAATTTGGAAGAGGTAATTTTGTGCTAGGAATATTTTAATTTTTTAACTGCTAACTACACTGAAGCTACATTTTTAAAACTGTTCACATAGTGTGCATTTCCAACATTCTTGACCAAACTCACTCAGACCAACACAATAGTTTATACAGTACAGCTAAAAATAAGCTTGTTTCACTGACCTAAAAAAAACAAAAACAAGAAGAAGCATTTCAGAAATGAACATCTTTCATTTTTGAAGTTTAAATGAATTTTCCTGTATATCATTATGTCATTTTACATTTACATGTCCATTTACCATTTACAAAATGTACAATAATATGTGATACAATTTGTAATTTGTTGCAAACATTATAAAAACATATTTTTTCCTAAATCACTTTGGCAAGTGTTTATCTACACATTCACACAAAACTGCAAGCTGACAAGCTTTGGATTGTACAACAAAACAATTTATGTATTGTAATCCACTTCAATCCACCTATTTGTTCTCGTGGAGATATAGACATTGTATACATTTGTAGTTCTGTTATCATCAATATATTCTGAAATGCCTGTTTTGTTGTACAATCTATACTATTGATGTGAAACTGCACAGTTGGCTCTCAATGACAGCCCTCAGTTTTCAACATGGTCAAGAATAAAGTGGCTGAAAGTAGGAATCAGCTACAATTACAATCAGCTTTCTGGCAAAATTGACTTAAAACGTGGCACCTGGATGGAATTTAAATTTATTTTCTTTTTTGAAACTGTTGATCAAATTTGTCACAAATTTGGGAGAATTAAACAAATGTGCTTATTGCATGCTTTTTTGTGAAAGCAATGAAAAATAATTAGACTTCTGTTTGACTGTGAACAGTTTTGAAAATGTGGCTTCAGTACAGTATAGGTTTTGATCGACTTCAAATGTTGACAAAGTTTTACATAAATATGCAATTCCTGAGTAAAAATTGACCCAAGAACAGTCCAGCTCATTCCAAATTGTTTCCTGTAAATTGCACACTTTGTATTAAATAACAAACTGTTATTGCTGTGCTAATTAGACTTGCAGTACTAAAATACTAGTTAACTAGGACAAACTAGAATACTTGCATGACTTACACTTAACATACAATTAGGTATACTTCATCAAATAAACTTAGTGTACTTCTCAATGAAAAAGTTAATTATGGCTTTAGCAAGAGCTATGCTCTGTATTTAACCTCATCTGTAGTCTTTTAAAAGCACTGTGTCAAAAAATGATGGGAAGTTTTACTTGGTGAATTTTCCTGTCCTTTGCAAATCGCATGCCTGTAAACTACTTTATCGTATGTCATTCTTCTAATAAACGCTGTAATATTTTTAAATAAAAAAAAAAAAAGATAATGAATTATGGACCAACCTGAGTGAGTGTGTAGAAACACAAAGCTGCTGATGATTATTATAAATGTGGTCTTGAACACAGACATCGCAGGAACTCTGCAAAAAACACAGAACACTAAAAAAATCAACATTGTTAACTGTAAATATTCCTGCTTTAAAGTTGACAGTTCACTGCAGATTGTGGGCTCTCAAATACTTGATACTTAATATGCTTATTAAAACATAAGTGTTGACAAATTTAATTAATTTTTATTTTAACAAAAATAAAAAGTTTTTTTCCATTATATTTCTTTTTAACCTTTTTTTCTTTTAAGGTGGTTTGCACAAGACTAATCTTACCTTGAAGGGTTGCAGGCAACGATAAAGCAGAAGTTTTTTTGGAAAAACTTCCTGTCTGTAAGATCTTATAGAGATGTGACAATACTGACGTCCCTGCAAAGCTCCAAATTACAAATCTACATTTGCTCATTCTATCACCTATCTATTATTCTATTATTTTATGCAATATATCCAAATAATATATATAAACACTATATAAAACAAACTTAGTAAAATGTTTTATGATAAATAAGGCACAGCACTAAAGAACAGACAGTTATAGGATATGAATATCAATATAATCAGAAGGCTGTTTTTTTTCTTCCTGATCACAGGTTAAGATGGAATGTAAATGCAACATTAATTTATCTAATTAAAGTAATTTAGCATATTTATTTCACACATTACCTGTCATTGGATGTGTTGTTCTTTACTATACATTTTTATTACGTTTGTAATAGACAATCGTTTGTAAAAATGTACATTCAAAAAGAAAAAATTTAGGAGAACTAAACATTTTTTGTGTATTTTACTTTAGTTTTGCTTAAGATAACTTAATCGATTTGTGTTGTGTTTTTCTGCATTTCTTTTTTTCACTGTGGATTAAATATAGTACTAACTGATATTAACTCTGAAATGCTGCACATTTAATGTTACCAGAACATTGTATCAAAATCTATTTATATTTCTGTGTGAATTCACAAAAAGAAGTTAAAACAAGGAACTGCAAACTTTAAGGCTCTTCAAAGGTTTTTCATTTCTGCTAGTCAGTTTAAACATAGCTTTCGTGACATGTTGTAGAATACTGATTCACGTTCATGTGAAATAGAGAAATGCTTTTACAGAAAAAGCTGTTTTGTGTTCATTTTCTAATTATGAAGGTATTCTGATCAAATACCCTCGTGACATTTACATATCATGTAGAAATGTCGGGCAGTGTAAACAGTTTAACTAAACCCTTGAGTAAAACAGTATGTTCGAAGTTGATTTTATAAAGTATATTATGAAGGGATGGTTTACCACACAATGAATATTCAATTAATATTTACTGCACCGCCAAGCGGTTCCAAATGTTTACAAGTTTATTTCTTCTGTTGAAAACAAAAAAGAGTGAGTAAATAAAGACAGAATTTAAATTTTTGGGTGAACTATCATTTAATGTTGACGTATACGTCATACTATAATTATACTAACAACTACAAGATGTACTAGAAGTATACTTGTCTTACTCTAAGAGTACTGTTTAAAAACAGCGTAGCCCACTTTTTATATAGTTAGACTACACTATATCAACAGTGGATACTTAATTATTAAGAAATTTTTAAGTGAAATGAACATTTTATAAATTTGTTATTTAGAATAAAGTTCATTGGTCTTGAATAATCTTTTTTATTATTTTTATATTTGCAAAAATTACAAAAACTCTTATTTTATGTTGTTATTACGCTGTATTGGTCGAATGAATGAATAAATTAATGAATGAATAATTAAAAAGCAATCAATTAAGTTCATTTTGAAATAAGACTGTCATAATAAAAGTTTGCTTTAAAGACTAAAGAAGATATTTTGAAGAAAGCTGAAAATGTGTAACCACTGACACTAGTAGAAAAACAAATAATATGGAAGTCAATGGTTACAGGTTTTACAGCTTACTTCAGAATATATAATCACCTGTTAATTATTATATTAAAAATTATTTGCTATTAAGATTTTAAGATTTGTTATTGGTAAAATGTACTTGGGACACATTTTGATCAAGTACAGCATAAAAATTATGCATTTAATCTTATGACACTTATTTGAGCTTTTAATTATACATCAGAACATGGATCAGAATGAGAAACACGATGTAGTCAAAATCTCTTACATTAAACTTGTAGCGTTACGTTGTGTTCACAGTTGAGTCGTTAGATGTGTTTCTTGTATATGTAACAATGCAGGAGATGCTCTTTTAGTGATCTCTGTATAAAGCT